AAGGTACTATTAGCTGATTCTAGCAAGAAATCAAAGCTGTGGGTCATTGAGAACACGGAAAGGTAATACTAGTCTAGTGTTTTCCACCTTCAAAAGGTAAATTGCGCTATTGTTTACCAGAATTTCTACACAGGAATGTGGAAGGGTTATACTCATAGGCCACTTACCTTGAAATTGTATTCCCATTTACCTGCTTTCTGATAAGAGCAAATAAAAGAGGTTGGTTAAGAATGACTTAATATAAGTCTCCGTGGTTCCAGTAAGTTCAAGCAATGTGTTTACCTACTACAGTTGTTTCCTATCCACAGAATGCATAAGTGTTTCCCTTAGTCAACTTGCTCAGTCATGTGAAAAGCAACACTTATTTTTAGCATCACATTTTTCTCCCCGGTCCCCCTGTTTTTCTTTATGGAATAGCATTTTTTAAGCAGAAGTGCTCTGATCTAAATTTAGATTGTATCACTGTATATAGCTGCCTGGATGTTCAAACAGAAATGTGATTAAGCACACACACTGCAGGAAAATGTAAATTTGGAATAGATCGGAGCCCACTTATGATGTTGAAACAGTATAAAAACAAATCCAAATAAAATAAAATGGATGAAACATGAACTTGAAGAAAAATATTAACTGCCTAGTGATGTGCAATTTAATGTTTTCTCTTTGTTTGAACTTGCTGGATACATAATTTGCATGAAACTGAAACACCTGGATAATTTTATTGTTATTCTATGTCAAGTGTATCATGGGGTGCTGATATAAACATTCATGTTCTCACCAAATCAAACCAGAGATTCCAGTCATAAAAGAGTGCAAATAATATTCATGTTGTATTGTTTAAGAAACATTGAGTTATACATGCTCAGAAGTTTGAATTTCTATATCTGTGCATCTGTATCTCACTATATATATAAAAGTAACAATCAATAATCAATTTGAAAGGGAGTGAAGGTGTTGGAATTTGAAGGGAGGAAACATGGAAGTAATTGGGGAGAGAAAAGGGAGTAGGGCTATAATTATATTTTAATTAAAATGTACTTTACAAACCTACACAGCAGAGTCAGAAAGTAGTGCAAATCTTTTAGCCAGAAAGGCATTGGATATTTAGCCCCATTCAATTAGAAGAGAACTTATATATTAAATGCATTATGAAGATATTTAACTAAATTTTCTAAGCCATTATTGTGATAGCACAAGTGTATGGCTATTTGTCCCTCTAAATATATCATGTTTATTGCAGATGGACTTTCTTATCATTTAGGAAGGGAGACATTCATATGTGAATACAATCTGATATTGCAAGTGACTGTTAGCACGTTTACAACAGGGTGCCACTGTCTGCCCTGCTGATCGCATCCCCATCACTGAAAGCATCTAATTATTTGCAGTATTTCAATTGCATCAGGAGGCAAACTAGTATTGGAGAAAACTGTCGGTTTTCATTGGCAGACACTTTGAAGCATACACTGACATGGCTTTATTAAAAACAGAGAGGCTAATAATAACTCTTTTATGCTGTTGTAGCAAGAATGGCCTAAGCAAACAGGGAAATCATAGCCTTCAGTTAGCCTTCTTTCCTTCTTTCTTTTGTTCACCTAAGCAGATAACAAACCAACCAACTCGCGAGACTCCATGCTTAGAGGCACGCAGTGTTCATTCAGCATGTTTTGAAGGTTCTACGTGCTCCTATTGATGAGTCTTTCTTTTCTCAGCCAGAAAGGAGTGTGGCAGGGAAGGTGATGGAATATTTCACCACTTCACACTGTGAGATTCACAATTGGACTAGTAACTAGCTTTCTTTGAAAACTTTATTAGGACGTAACGCCTAGCTCTGCTCCTAGCAGGGTAATCTTTGTGCTTCAGGTTTGTCCTGACAAAGCTCAAAGGAGAGGAGTTTAAGGTTTGTTTCAGCACTGTAATTTTGTCAACTCCACCAGTTTTTATTCTTACTCAAAACTGCACCAACTCAGAGGTTTCTCAAAGAAGAGAAAATTTACCCTTGCTGGCAAATGACAAAGGACTGAATTTAAAAAGGTAGAAGGCGGCACTTATTACCTTCCCGTTTTGGAATGTGAGAACAGAGCCACTGAACAAGGACTCCTTCACATTTAGGCATCTCTCATCCTTTTTGTTTTGTTTTATTTTGTTTTCTTCTCTTGGGTCCCTTGAATGCCTTGCATTTTCCAAAGTATTTTTTGTCCTTTCCTAAGTTTGCATTGGTTGCAACAGCCTAAAAACAGAATACTTGAGAGACGGCTGTTCTTGAAGGTGAACCATATTCAATTTCCAACACGCATATAGCAGGTCACAGATCTCTGTAACTCCAGTCCCCGGAGATGTGTGGCTCTCTTTTTGATTCCATGTGCAAACACTGATATACATAAAATCAAAATAAGCACGCCCCCCCCAAAATAGAGATGCTATTTATCACTATCCAAAGACTAGCTTAAACTGAAATAAAAGAAAAATCAAAACAGGAAACTGAGGTATTTAAACATCATACCTCAGATTCTAGACTTCTAACAAGTCCCATGAGATTTTGTGAGCTATCTAGAGTCATTGGTTATAGCAGCTATCAAAATATGCTGTGGGAAGATAGGTCCTTAAATGTAATACTTAGAAGAAAGAAAGCCATCCGAAGCATTTCAATTTCTTAACCGCATTGTACCCTTTTCAGTTACCATCAAACATAATCAAATTTCAAAAACAATCTGTAAAGGGTAGAGCATGGTAATGCGTTACTTTTCCTTTCTCAAGTGGTTTCTCAGTATTCAGATACACACTATTTAAATTATTATTCTCTGTTGTCTGTGAGAGACAAAAATATGAGCTCTGTCACACACCTGTAGCGTCCATGATATGTATGTGGGGCATGTGTGCAATGACACACGTGTAAAGGCCTGGGGCCAAACTTGTGGAGTCAGTTCTCTTTCCAGCTTTCTGTGAGTTATGGCACTTGAGCTCCAGTCTGCAGGGCTGTACCTCAAGCATCTTTACCTGTTGAACCATCTCTTTAATTTAGCAGAAGTGTCATTATGTAAGTGGAACTTCAGAATTTAAGTTTCTAATGCATAAACATAGTGGTAAATTATATGTTGACTTGTTTTTTAATATGAGATTACTTGTTTACGATAAAAAATGTTAAAATAGACAGCACATTATAAACATTTTAGGACACCCCAAAAGCCTAATATAACTCAAAATTTACAGTCTATGCAAAAATTCTGCCTAGTTGTAAAGCTATGGTTTTTTGTTTTTCTTTAAATATTACTTAATATTCAATATAAGTGTTACTGTTGGTAAAAAAACAAGATATAAATTTAATTATCAACAATATTATCAAAATGGATGAATTTTACTTGTGACTATAGAAACTATTCTTTAGCCAAAAGCTTCAGGGAACTTTAAAGACTGGAATGTTATACTGAAATCAACACAGATTTATCTTATAAAATATATCATCCTTTGTCTTTCTTCATATGCAAGCACTGTATTTTACTGCTTTTAACAAAAAACTAATAAATTTTTATGATTCCAGAACAATATAGCAACAACATAATGTTTTATTTTAAAAATAATATTTACAGGATTCTTCTTTTATCTGTTCCTTTCCTCACGGAGGAGGTAGAATAGGATTCAAAGTTGAGATTCCACACTTGTTTTTAGTAGAGCAATTATCTTCAGGAGATATAGCACAAAGGGTGGTGATGAATGACAGCTACATTGTGATAATAATTCATGCTCAGGAAAGCAAAAAGGTGGCCAAATAAAGACGGAAATATGTCTGTCAGCAGAGAGCACAAATATGCAATACAGGAGGCTTCAAGATGTTTGTCTTTTTTCCCATTTAAAAAAAATTATTTCATTTTACATTCCAACCACAGTTCAACCACAGTTTCCCTTCCACCGCTCTCACCACCCCATCTTCTCCTACACCCCTCATGTCTACCCAAGCCCAACCATTGCCCACTCCTCCTTACAGGTAAGGGCTCCCATGAGGAGTCAACATAGTCTGGCACAATAGATTGAGGCAAGGCCATGCCTCTCTTTCATGTATTAAGATTGATGTTTGTCTCAGAAAATATTTGGTGTCTTTAGAGTCTGGCAATATGCAAAATTTAGGCCTCAAATTATCCTTGCACACCTATTTCTAATCTTGTAAGAACTGATTGTTTTTTTCTGTACAGCATACCAGTCCACAAAGTAATGGAGTTTAGCATGGTACTCAAAACATATTTTAAGACAAGATCTTGTTATTATAGCAAGGGTAGCAGAGATGCTGAGAAATACTAGGCTTTGTGTAACACTGCTCCTATACAGTATGTTTACCTCCATTATATTTTATATCATAAGAATAAAGTTTGTCTTCTTGTGAGTGTATCAGTTGTCATTTGATAATGTCTAACATGTGACCTAATGACAAATTCATCCAACTAACCCAAGAGATTTGAAAGAAAAAAGGTGTTTCTGAGGCTTAGCCTTTGGAAAAGAACATATTTCTTTTTTATTAGCTCCATCTTATGGCTGAACTAATTTTTGCGCATGGCCCAGGGAAATCCTCAGTATGTTCTGTTTGTTTTGATTTCATTACCCTGCTCCCTTGTAATACTCTTTCCAAGAAAAAAACACATCTTGGTTATATCATCAGGTTTTTTAAAATTGAGAATTAAAAACATCAAATACTATAACAAAATAGATTTTAAAATACGAACAAATTTCAATATTTTCCTGTATACAGATATTTACACTTACATCTCATGGAAGCTTAACTTGCTAGATTTACATTGGAAATATACATGAAGATAAACAACATTTACCACATAAAATGATGTTATAGCAATGGATTGGCTTGTCAAAATTCCATTTATATGCTATGCCACCTTAATATCATCTAAAAATAATTATGTATGTTAAAATTCAGTCCTTCATTGGCTTTGTGTTTGGAAGGACTAACCGAGCTTAAGTATTTAGTGATAAGTAAGTAATAGATAACATCATACCTCCGCATCATATTCCCATAACTGATTTCCTCTCATATGATGGCATTTTAGCATGATTACAGGTCCATTGAGTCTGGATACATCCAAGCACAAGTCATCAGTTCGAATTTCTTTGTCAGCAGTATAAGAAAATACCTGAAAATAGAGAATCCAGCTTATAAAATAATATCTAGTTTACAAAACACACTGTTTAGGAAATCTGTCCATGGGCATTTTCATAGCATATCCACAAGGTTCAAATCCTCTCTGTTTATTCTACAAAAGCAGCATCATGTTTCTGTTACTTTACTCAACAGCAACATACGAGAATGTCACCTTCCTTTAAAGGCTATAGTGGAGCTTTGATTTAATAAGTGACATTAGTAATTGCTTATGAGCTGTCCTTGCATTTCCTATGTGATACATGTTTAATCGAGCACACATGTGTCAGTTAATATTGAAATTCCAGACAACAAATTCCACAAGGATTGTCCTCTACTTCTCACTACTTGTCTAAATCTAGATGGTCATTTTTTTCTTCAAACTTTAAGTACATCTTTTAAATTATATTAATGTAGTCAGCAGGTTTATAAATATGAGATAATTTTCTTTTCAAGGTTTTAATAGCAATAGCCTTGCATTCTACTACGATTATTTTCTATGATTTTGGCTAATCTTGACAACATTACTTCTTTTCAAAATACCCAGAAAATGAGCCTGACGGTAGTGGCGCTCGCCTTTAATCACAATACTCGGAAGGCAGAGGCAGGCTGATCTTTGTGAGTTTGAGACCAGCCTGGTCTACAAGAGTTATTTACAGGGCACCCTCCAAAGCCACAGAGAAACCCTGTCTCGAAAAACCAATATATCAAGGCAGATCATTGACTCACTGTGAATTCAAATAGAGAACTGTTATGAGCATAAATGTAAAATTAGCTCTCTTCTTTTCAGCTATGATCAGCAAAGTTGAGTATTCTGTGGGTTCTCCTTTTAATTTGAATGTCAGAGGGACTACAATTAGTAAGGTCATCTCCAAGGCTTGGGTTTTCCCAGAAATTCTGAGATCAACTCTGTAAGAACTGAAACAAGCTGGAACTCTGTAGGTAGAGATCTCATGCACACCCAGCACTGACCACGCCCATTTAGGTAAGTGGTGGAAGGCAGGGATAAATGTCAAGGAAGGAGGTGTTGAGTTCTCTCTTGGGGTGGGTTGGAGGTTGGAGACCAGCAGAGTGCGGACCTCAGTTCTTGGCTTCTCACGTGACTTCTCTCTCTCTATGTATCGTACGACTTCCCTTCCCAGTATACTTGGTGTGGCTCGTTATTGATCTTCAGAGATCTAAACTACAGGCTTATAAAGATTTCACAGCGGGAGAATGAAGCTCAGTGATGGATCACAGAATAACCAGTGTGAGGCCTAAGGTTAACCCCTACTACCTACTAAAAGAATTTTGCAACAATTAAATTTAGAAGATATTTTCAATATTGTATATTAGGAGACAATAGGTTTGGGAAGGCCTAACTAAAATTGAGAATTCATGGAAATTCTTTGTGAAACTCATTACCATGTAGGTTATTTTTTTAATTAAAGTAAAACACATTGAATTGCATTAATAGATAATGCTTCTACTTGAAACTTGGTACAATGAAACAAGAGGAACAACAGAAGATAGGAGAAACAGACAGAGAGAAGGGGGATAAGAGAGACAAAGAGAGCATGCGTGCCTCAGAAGTGTCCTCAATACAGGATATTGTAGTTACTTTTGGTTGCCCACCAGAACTTCATAATAAGACCCTATTGCTTAAGGGTTATCACTATTTACACACAGAGGCCAGGCAGTTGTGGTGCACACCTTTAATTCCAGCGCTTGACAGGCAGAGGGATCTCTGTGAGTTCAAGTCCAGTCTGGGTTACTGGGATACACATTGATTGATTCAGTCTAAAACAGAAACAGACCTCACACCTTTGATCCCAGCACTTGGGATCACACACCTTTGTGGGGATCACAGACCCTGGCTTGAAACCCACCCCTCCATCAGCCTAGGAGCAGGCAGCTGCCAGATAACATGTTTACTGAAAACAATCCAGTGCCATAAGCTCCTGATCAGGGCTATAAGGGCTCTCATTGACTTTGATCCCCCCCAAGGCTAGCTGCTTCTTCCTGCTCCCTGCTGCCCGCCCCCCCCCCATTCTGGTGCCTGAGATTTAACCACCAGCCAGGAGGGTGAGAGGTCTGAGAGAGCTGTGAGAGGTGTGGGAGAGTTCTGTTGGGGATTTGTGCGTGTTTGGATGGCAGAAGTTTTTTTTCTGAAGGGAAGCGTTTTTCTTGGGAAGTTCTCCTAACTTGATTTGGGGAGCATAAAAGTTTTCTTAACGCAAACAATTGGTCCCTGTGTCATCAATCCTCGCCACATTCTTGGATACAGGCTGCACAACAGGCGCAGCAGACCTTTAATTCCAGCACTAGGGAAAAGGAAACAGGAGTGATATGGCTGGGCAGAGAGACAGGCACTCCTAGTATTCAGTCTGAGAGTTCCTAGAGAGAGGATCTTCCATTCGGGTTTAGGATTCACAAGAGGTAAGAAGTTCCTGGCTGCTGTGCTTCTCTGAATTTTTAGTATTTACCTCTATACCTGACTCTTTTATTATTAAGACCAATTAGAATTCATGGTACACTCTATAGGTGGAGTCAAATCTAGCCAAAATTTCTCAGAAGCTCATTACCCCCAAGGAGAAACCCATTACTGTTTTAGTACATGGATAGATTGTAAAACTGTTTTTTAAATAGTTATGTTTATACCCATAGATTGTGTTCTCCTCCTTATCCAGAGATGCTTCTTGCTGTGATGATAACCATTTAATGAAGATGCCCAGAGCCAATAAACGATCGGTGAATAAGGGATTAGTCTGTGCATAGTTAGAAAACGACCACTGTAGTCTGTCTCTTCTCCCCAAAGATTCGGGGAACATCATGAAAAAGGACACAGAAAGAATGCAATGTGCAGGATATGAATAGATGATGTGAATACTGTGGTATTGATGCAAAATTATTATTGCATTCATGAACTCAAAGCAGCTATGGTTGCCTATACAAATTCTGCACAAAATAAACCCCATCATTGTTACAGAATGATTTCAGTGAGGACAAATGAGACCCCCCAGCTATTTGTAGTTAATGATCACTGAAGGAGGCTTATTTTTCTTAACTGCTATACCCACTGGCAAATTGTCCTTGATGTATTAATAACCTCATGATCATGCATATGAAAATTAGTCTTATTGAAACTCTGTTAAATTTTATAATAAAAAACTAAGTAAAACACAGGGGATGTGTTGGGAAAAACAGTGGTTCCAGAGGACTATGAGGTAGATAAGACAGGAGAGGTAAATAGGGGCAGAATATGATCAAAACAGTTTATATAAATGTGTTAAGTTTTTAAAAGATAATTTAAAATTATTAAGATGTAAAAACAGCTGTCTGTACAGAACTGAAAAATTGCCTAAAGTGTGGGAAACATTCAATGTCTATGATGATTCTAAAATACTCTTAACATCCACCAGATGAAATAAAAATTCTTCAGAAAGGTTATACGTTCACTTAGAAATATTAATACTTGAAAAGTATGGATGTTCATTTAATTATATATATACTTATATATATACATTTTATGTATAAAATTCAAAAATAAATTTCTTTTTTCCAAATGAGGAACCTGCATAAGACCAAATGAATCAAAGATATTAACATAAATCCAACCACACTGAAACTCTTAGAAAAGAAAGTGGGAGATACTCTTCTACCAGTTGGTACAGGAGACCACTTCCTGAACATAACACCAGTGGCACAGACACTGAGATCGACAATTAACAAATGGAACCTCCTGAAACTAAGAAGCTTCTGTAAGGCAAAGGACACAATCAACAAGACAAAAAGGCAGTCCACAGAATCGGAAAATATAGTCACTAACCCCACATCTGACAGAGGGCTAAACTCCAAAATTTACAAAGAACTCAAGAAGCAATTCTCCAAAACACCAAAGGATCCAATTAAAAGGTGGGGTACAGAACTAGAGAATTCTCAATAGAGGAGGTTAAAATGGCCAAGAGACACTTAAGAATGTGCTCAACATCCTTAGCCATTAGAGAAATGCAAATCAAAACAACTTTGAGATACCATTTTACTCCTGTCAGAATGGCTAAAATCAAAAACACCGAAGACAATTTATGCTGGAGAGGATGTGGAGAGAGGGGAACACTCCTCCACTGTTGGTGGGAGTGCTAAATCGTACAGCCACTATGGAAATCAGTATGGAGATTCCTCAGGAAAATGGGAATCAATCTACCACAAGACCCAGCAATTCCACTCTTAGGCAAACAATAAATTAATAGAAAAAAATCTATCTTTCTTACTTTTTCATGTCCATACTATTTATGAAAGAGCAATAAGTAACCAACAGGAAAAAATAATCAAGAAAAGTATTTTATAATTAGAATACAATAATTGGAAAATTCATTAATGAAATTAATGTGAATAGAGTGTTGGGAAAATTTATCTTACTTTTCATAGCACTAGGTCAATATTACAAAATGTTCTAAAAATTGACATTTCATTTCTTCAATGGTACTGCAAAAGAAGTCCCTAAATCTCAGGGAAGAAGTAGCCAGAGAGATAAGTAGGACACAGGTGTTATGATGGGGAAAAAAAAGAAAATGGTAATACTTTAACTGGGGATGAGGGAAGGAAGTATAATACAGAGGAAGAAAGAGGAAGGGAAATTGTCTAACATTAAAGATGTATGAAAATGTAGGGAAGCATGCTACTTAACAAACATTGCTTAGATACATGTGTGCACGTGAACACACACACACAGTTACACTACATTTAATAATAATGGCTCCCTTCAAAATCATAGAATATCAAACAAAAGCCTAAAAGCAAGGCATGGAACCTTCCCTTCATGTCGTTGGCCAGAGTTATTGAAAAGTCTCCCAAAACAATATAAACTATCACTATTGCCTTTGGTTGCTTCCCAGAATTTGAGGTAAGAGCCTAATGTAATTCAGGGTTCTCTAGAGTAGTGGTTCCCAACTTCCTAACATTATAGCCCTTTAATATAGTTCCTCATGTTGTGGTGACTTCCAACCAAAAATTATT